CGAATGCGCAAAAGCATGCGCCATGTTTATGCATGTGTGCAGCATCAGCAGGTTTGACACGCTTGTCCTGAATTGAGGCAGAGACAAACACGATGTGAGGCAGCTCATCTCCCCCCGCCCACGCCACCCCCACACACTGCGCCTTTAAGAGCAGCCCTCTGCTGTTTATTGACAGTAACTTAAGAATTGTACTGGAATTCTGGCACCTCCTAATTTTAAACCTTCTGACTCCCAAAGGACCCAAGCTAAATATATCTGCCTGCCATATCTCTGAGCAGCTATTGAGCAAACCCACTTCAAAAAAAAAAAAAAAAAATGGTGTCATTCATGCAAGTCAAGCGAAGCCCGCTGAGCTCAATGACTCATCACAATAGCGAGCGTATCAAAAATTGCTCGTTTGGCTCCACAGCCAAAATACGATTAGCGACACGCACACCATCTCATGCGTGACCCAATTTGGGAGTGAAAAAAAAAAAAGTCCGTCCAAAGGTCTCTGCGTACGGCGCTTCTGTGCAAATGTTGTTTTTACTCCCCCGACTTCTGTCAAAAGTGAGCACTTGCCGAGATCATCCGTGCACCTCCCGGGTGTGCGTCGCCAGACGGCACGACGGTTGCTCAAACGTCACCTCAGGTCGCCGCCCATTGAAGGGAGGCCCGTTGTCGCGCGCGTCCCGGAATCGTGCCGTCTCATCTTCACGTGTTCCGCCCGCGAGGCGGTCGGATTGGCCGACCGGTGGCTTTCCGCCGGCGCGGAAAAGCTCCGTGCTTTTGCGCGCCGTCGGATTGCAGCCTGGTACTTACTGGCAGATTTCGCTCGCCGTGCGCGTTCGAACGCGAATGTGGTGGGTGGGAAAAGTGAAGGCTGCCACGGCGGCATCAGTCATTTCTCCAGCCTCGCTCCCTCGCTCCCTCCCTCCCCAGGGCCCATAAACCTTTAAAGCACCTATAAAACACTCGGCGAGGCCTTTTTGAAGTTTTTATGAAGATCTGGCTTCATTGTTCCCAAGAGATGAGCCCCGCTCCGCCGGCGCCTCCGAGCTTTCTGGAAGTGCCAGTGGATACGGGAGGGGGTGGGGGCGGGTGGGAGCTTGCTGGGCCTGGGTGCGGGTCCCGGGGAAAGAAGGGCTGCGGGATCGGGGGGAGGGGGCCACGGTGGAGCCTGTGTTTTTGCGTCCCACTGTGCGCGTGTGCGTGTGTGTTTCTGTCTGTGCGCGCGCGCGTGTGTGCGAGAGGCAGTGACAAGTTCATTTTCCGCCGCCGCATCTCGGCCCCCGTCGGTTTGTTGGGACGGCCGTGTTTTCTTTGAACGTTTCAGACGCCCTTCAGGAACTGGACGCAGGTTGTAGCGCGAGCGCGCATGTGTCGCGCCACGTGGGCGTCTGCGGCCGCCCGCCTCTGCTGCGCGCGCGCGCGCGTGCGTTCGCAGACGACGGGGCCAGCGGGTTGCGCGCTTTGTTGTTTGAAGTGGGGCTCGCGGAGCTCAATGAATGGAGCCGGACCCCCCTCCATCCGTCTGATCCGCCGGCACCGGCGCTCCCTCCCAAATCCCGGCTCCCGACAAACCGACGCGCCGGCCCCCTCAAAGGAACAGTTGGCAAACGGGACGGCCCATTAAACGGGCCCACCGGGAGGCGTTTGTGGCAGCCGCCCGACGCGAGTGTGCGCCCATACCTGCCGACTTGCCTTTGAGCGCGCCCTTC